ATTTTGACTTCTTTATTGTATATACAAAAATTTGATGGGTACCTTCCTGTATGCCTCCGTATATTCACAGAACTGCGTATCTACTTAATTTCCACTTATGTTCCTTTGTTATTCATAAATTTGGGCAAAATTACAAGAGCTCTATCTACTGGCAGGTCTAAGGTAACAGCCAACAGTAAATTCCAACATTTAATTGGTCTAGGAAGGTCAAGCCTTGTTTAGTATTATAATGACCTCACATGGTTCAAATTACCCCCTTATAGCCTACCTCACCTCCTACACTGCGTGTCTCCTTCATAAATCATCACTCGCATGTGTTCCCGTACATGTCACGCTGCCACTCAAGTGTTTTTTTTTTTTTGCAACCAATTAAAATGATTTTTTTGGTTTAATTCGCAGTATTTTTTACTCAATCAAAATCGATTTTTATTTTGGGTTTCTCATATTTCCAAATTCATATTCATTTCCGACCATGGAAGTCTGTGATGGGAGTCACTTAAATTATATGGAGCTGATTGCGAGTTTTTGGGAAAAAAACGAAGAAACTGTAGCATTTTTTCGATCGCATGGTGTTCTCCCAACCTCAGTAAATTGTCATAAGTGCAAGACTGAATGTAAATATCGCAAAGACCAACATATGTGGCATTGTCCTAACTCGTCCCTTATCCCAAAGACAAAGAAGAGACGGCAATAAGGTAAGAAGTAGGTGATTCCATCATATGGTGAGAGTCAGTTAGGTTAGGTTAGGTTTGGTTTTTGTTTTTCTAGTGGTTTTTGGTGTATTTTTTATTGGCTTAGCCATTAATTTTTGTTCGGAAAACGTCCCACGAAAAAAAATTGATAAAAAAACCCAGCCAATTTCTGCCTGAAATGAAGGGTATGTTAGGTCAGGTTTTATTAGGTTCTATGCATTTTCATTTCCATTTTTGTGTTTAATATCATGATATAAGTGTGAAGAAAACAATTCAACCAATTCGGACAATTCCTTCTGGTGGTTACCCTCTTCTACACCTTTACCTTTTCCTGCTTTGAGAGATGAAATAATGCATCATTTTGGAACTTCCAAGAAAATTTTTTCGTTACCTGGAAAATTCCGGGGATGAGGGATTATTTTCCGGCTTTGAAAGAGTTGTCTCGTTACCCGGAAATCTCACATTCCCAGAAGTACTCTGCACCAATTGTACTGATTAAAGACCAAGTTTAAGCCTAAACAAACGACCCCTCCTGGGAATAAGCACCTGACAGTTTTGTTGGCTATCCTTTGTCAAATTGCCTTACTGTTTACCATAGTTGTTTACCTGCAATGTCTAAGCACATGAAAAGCTGTGAACTCCCATGACCTACGTGCACCGTATACAGTACATACATTCTCAATAGCTATTCATGCTGAACTGTATAACTGCATAGTTTATAGACATATCTATCCAATTGTAAACTTGTATGACAGTTTTACTGAATAAATATTATTATTATTATGAGACAGCATATAAATAGCCGAGTTGTGTAGATAAACATTCTTTGTGTGTATTTGTGGTTAAACTTCTAATTTTAATGGTCTCCCTATACTGTACAGTACTGTACTGAATATAGATATGGAAAAAATTATGATTTGCCTCCCATACAATCATGTTGTTTGAGTGTACAATCCCCATTCTTCTGAATATGTGGACTGGGGACAAAGGACTAGAGGTTGACCAGATGTCACATTGTTAGTTACATCATGTACAAAGGTCAAAATGGTTTTATCAAGAATATGATAACAGTACCTTTTCTATCTTTAGGATGATTGCCATATATCATTGTCATCTGTATTCGGCTCTCAACATGTGGTATTTTTTTTACATACTGTAATATATTGAGTATACAGGTTGACAACCCTTTATCCGAAATTCTGAAAACCGAAAAGCTCTGAAAACTGATTTTTTTTTTAAACGGGTATTAGCCCACCCGGGCACAAGTCACTGACCCACACCAGGGCCTGGGGGCGAAAATGTAATAGTAATAATAATTACTGTATAATAATAATAATAATAATAACAATAATAATTATTCATAGTAAATAAAAATTTTAGTAAAAAATACACAAAAATAAAATAATAATAATAATAATAACAGTAATACTGTAATAATAATAAAATAATAATAATACTGTACTGTAATAATAATCAAGAAATACAAGAATGAAAAAAAGATCAAAAGTGAGAAACACGACCCAGACCTATGAATTATTATTATTATTATTATTATTATTATTTAAATTTATTCAATGGCTGGATACTTTTATATACAGTATACTTCAAAATATGTTTGAGACGAGTTGAACTTGAAATTTTGTTGTTGTCTTCATACTGTATCGCTGAAAGAAGATGTAAAGATAAGTTGGTTGATAAGAACAGTATCAGTACAACACATATGAAAGGAGCTGAAGGTAGGTAGACACCCAGGATATGTATTTGAGATCTTTAATCCTTTGTCAGTTTTTTTTTGCATTGTAAATATGTGAAGAAAAATATCAGTTAAGAAATATGGCATGTGAAAAATGTAACCTTTTAACATTTATATTGTTATGAGTTGTCACTAATTGTGCTCCAAGGTTTGTTTATGTGCAGAGTGACAAGTTGTGCTGCCCTTGCTACCATTGCTGAGCTTGGTCTAATGACCTAGGATTTAACTACATTTACATTGATTTTTTTAGGGGGAATAATAGCCCACCCGGGCACAGGTCATCGACCCACAATGGGGCCGAGGGGCGAAAAAAATAAGAGTAAAAACAAATTAAAAATATAAAAGAACAAGATTATATTCATCTATACCATGAATACCCTGGAAACCCAGCTTTTTAAAGTGAGACATTGTATGAGTATGGTAAAACAGAAGATGGCAGAGCATTCCACAGTTTGGCTGTGTGAGGAAGGACGGATGTACTATAACGGGTTATTCTAGTGTGACCGACCCACAGAGAAACGGTGGGCACCGCGAGCAAGACGAGTGTTACGAGCCTTCGGCCTTGCCGGCGGTACACAGGATGCCAAATCCACCGAACATTGCCCATTAAAGTACCTGTAAAAGAGAGAGAGTGAAGCAACATTGTGGCAAAGAGAAAGGGAAGAAAGATTATCAACTAAAGGAGGAGAGTTAATAAGATGAAATGCCTTTGATTCCACCCTATCTAACAGTTGGACAGAAGAAGAGCCACTCCAGATATGGGAGCAGTACTCCAAGTTAGGACGAATGAATCCCTTATATACCTGAAGCAACTGCTCAGGAGTGAATTGGCTACGGCATCTGTACAGCATTTCCAGCTTTCGGGAGGCAGCTTTAGCAATGATGAGGATGTGTGGCTTCCATGACATAATAGAGGAAATGGTGAGGCCTAGCATAACTATTTTAGAATTTGGCAGAATGATTGCATCCTGAAATGTAATTGGTGGGAGATCATCTAATTTGGAAAGTGTTATACCACTATTGAATTTAACCAAGTTTCTACCTCCCCATTCGGAGATGCTGCACAGATCCGCGTTGATAGATGTAATGATATCAGCTCTAGAAACAGATCTAGTTTGAGAATTAGGGGGAAGGGGAAAATGTAAAGAAAAGTGAAGAGTAGAATCATCAGCGTAAGAATGGATAGAATTAGTCGTAGTGTGAAGTAAATCATTGATAAAAAGAAGGAAGAGAGTACCGTAGGTGGAAGTACAAAACCTTGTGGGACACCACTATTGGTAGAGAAAAAGCGAGAGATCGATCCCTTGACGACAACTGCCATGGATTGGTTCTCAAGGAAGCGAGAGATTAAGAGAACAAAGTGGGGGAGAGAAACCATAAGAGGGAAGTTTAGAAAGCAAAGACTTGTACCATACCCTATCAAATGCTTTGGAGATGTCGAGGGCCACGCCGAAAATTTCCCCATAATCTCCAAGAGAGGATGACCAATGATGGGTGCAGTAGTAGAGCAGATCACCAGTAGATCTCGCCTGGCGAAAGCCATACTGGTGATCTGACAAAAGAGAATGGCGTTCAAGGTAACGGAGAAAATGCTAGTTCAGGATAGTTTTGAAAATCTTAAAAAGGGATGAAGTTAGGGCAATGGGGCGATAGTTAGAGGGATTGGAATGGTCACCCTTCTTCGGGATGGGCTGAACCAAGGCATGCTTCCAAGAAGAAGGATAAGTTTGGGTTTTGGGGCAAAGATGAAACAGGTGACCAAGAACAGGGGCCAGAACTTGAGCACACTCCCTCAGAACACGAGAGGATATTCCGTTCGGTCCTTGCGCCGAACTCACATCCAACCTTGATAACACACCAGCAACCCTACGAGTGGAGATTATAGAAAGTGCATAAGTTCAGTAGGAGGAGTAGGAGGGAAAGAGTTGGAATCTTCTAAGGCGCAGTTAGAGGAGAATAAGGTGCCGAAGAGATTGGCTTTATCAGGGGGAGAGTTGGCTATAGAATTATCAGGTCCGAAGAGAGGATGAAAAGAGGGAGTGCAGAAGTTATTACAGATGCTTTTGGTTAAGGACCAGACAGATTTACTAGAAGAAGAGTTAGTCAGGACAGCGGTCTTTCTTTTTATAAAATTCCGCTTGGGCCTACGAAGAATAGCCTTACAACGATTCCTAGAAGTATTGAAAGAGGAGTGAGTAATAGGAGGAGATAGTTTCATAACTTGATATGCCATATCTCTCTTCCTACATGCAAGAGAACAGGAGCGATCAAATCATGATTGTAAAGTAAAAGTTTTGGTAGAAGATGGGATAAATGCACACATACCACCCTGTATAACCCCAGCAATGCTGTCAGCACATACCAAGGCATCCTGAGTGGAAAAGCAGTATTCATCCCAAGAAAGTCGGAGAAGAATTCTCGCAAGGATTGCCAGTTTGCCCTCCAATAGTGCCATAGTTGGCATTTAGAGGGGGGTGGGGAAGGTGATCATGCCCAGTTTGATGTAATAGAAATAAGATTGTGATCAGAAGACCCTAAGGGGGCAGAAATTGAGTATGAATAGTGTGAGGGGTTAGAGGTAAAGCAAAGATCAAGAACGTTAGTAAGTTGATCGTGTCGATCAGGAATGCATGTAGGGTGTTTAATTATTTGTTCCAGATCATTAAGTAAGGAAAAATTGAGTGCCTCAGCTCCACCTGGGTCACCCTTACAGAGCCAAAGAATTTCAGGATCATTCCCTCATTTTTTTCATTTTTTTCCGAGTTGAAAACAGATACTGTATGTATTATATTTTTGCATAATTTTTCAGATTGTAGTGACTCGGCTCAGTGTGGCCACATCATGGCGCAGACACGCATGAAGGTCATCTTTGGTCATCTAAACCAAAGAAACCAACAAGCTGTTGTATCCTTTTATGTACAGTACTGTGTAAGAAATCGATGAATTTTCTTTTCAAGGTAATGCAAAGCAACAGATGAATGTGTATTTACTTGGACTTTATAATTTAGTATCATGCAAACTCTCAGGTGTGATCGCATTATGTATAGTAACATTTACAAGGCAATGCGAGTGTTATGTTCCCTTCCAATCACCACATCAGAATGTGAGAGGTGAGTATCTGCGCTAAGAAGGCTGAAAGCTTACACCCGCAGGACCATGGTGGAGAACAGACTCGCAGGACTGGCACTGCTTCATGTCCACCATAACAGAGAGATGGATGTGGTTGTGAAGAGATTTGCTCAGTTGAATCCCAGAATAATGGCACTGGGAGATATATGTAACAGTTAAAGTAGGTACAACTCCTGGCAATTGTGTGCAGTTTACTTTTATCTTTTAGGCAAATTGAAAAATGTGTATGTAAACAGTGTAAATGGTGATGTCTTTATTTACTTATTTGACAATGTTGTATGTAAATAGTGATGTGATGTTTATGACTGTGTGAGGGTGATTTTTATTACAACTACATGGTGATGTTATTATAGTGGTGGTGATGTGACTGTTCGTGTATGACTGTGTGGTTACAGTATATGATTTTATAACAATTTCAGACACTGTTATGGGCTCATCAACAAAGAAACATCTGTATGATGAAAGCTACATTCAGTATGCAGTGGACCCTCACTTTAAGCGGTCAATTGAACCCACGGCGGCCCGCGTAAAGCGAGAAACGCGTAAAGTGAACAACATAACATATGGGATTAATTGAAATAGAGACCGGGCCGACCCCCAAACTCCACTTTTTCAGACACAATATCTACGTTGTAGTAAAAATAACTTCTTAATTTTATGATGGTATGCACAGACAATTAATAATTAAGAGAAATATCAATAATATTAGGTTTTTTAACACTTACATTAGTAGAAAAAATGGCTGGGCACACGGGGATGGGGGTTGGTTCCGAGGCAGAGGGCAGATTATTGGCCCTCACCTGTATTACTTGTATCAATTGTATCACTATCCACCACAGAGGCTTGCAGGGCCTCTTTGTCAAACCCCTCAAAGACCATATAAGTCCATATCCTCACTATCACTCTCACTGACTTGGGCCGGCTGTGGTGGGTGGCGGGTGCAGAACTCGGTAATGTTTTGATGACTGGGCGACCTTGTGCGCACCCTGCTCGCGCCGCTCTCCGCGTAAAAGGGTACACCCACCGCGGAAAGTGAGCATTCCGTGTTCGGCAGGATACCGCGTAAACGTGGAAACGCGTAAAGTGGGACCGCGTAAAGCGAGGGTTGACTGTGGATTCACAACTATCGTCGAGAATGGGTGTGAACTGAGGGTGCCATGGGTTACGAATGCATCGGAACTTAGTTCCGGTCGGAACCTGGATTTTTATGAAGTTCCGGTTCTAGCTGGAACTTCAGTAAAATAACTGGCCAGAACCAGAACTTTGTATTGTGGTACTGGTTCCTGTTTCATAAATTGAAACACAATTCACTCTTAATGCTTCATATTCCTAATGGATAATGCAGCATAAAAAAGTACTGAATGATTAATGAATATTGATGTATGTGTAGCAAAAAATGTAGTATTACATATTAAATCATTTATTGTACGGTACATGATACATGATATATTAAATATATAGAAAATCAAAATATGTACAGGTATACTGTAATTATATATAATGATAAATTACTGATGTCCACTGTGAAAAAGGAGAGAATATTCTAAACCTTTGAATTAAATACTGTATATATTATCTTCAATAAACAACCGCAGAAACAGATGGATAAATACAGTAGAAGTCCAAAAATCCGGACTGCTTGGGGATTGGGTCGGTCCGGATTTTCGGATTTTCCGGATTCTCAGGCAGTATTTTTAAAATTCAAATTTAAGGAGGAATGAAGAAGAGATGAACAGGTACATTTTGATAGTTTATTCATTAGCAAATATAGCATGCTTCATTTATCAAAATGAGCAGTTTTAAAGAAAAAGCTGTGAATTCTAGAATTTTATTCTTTGCCTTTTTATATCATAATTTGTAGACTTTCCAATGTCGTATGTATTCATTAGAACAGTATTGCTCACACCACGTTTTAGTTTCTTAATTATTTCAAGTTTGTCACTCAATTTCAACGTGTTCTTCTTTCTCTTCGCACAACGAAGTTTATCTCCTTAAGGAGCCATTATTATGGGCTTGTACAGTACTCTGTAAATGAAAAGAGTAGGACTCAAAATTACATACGTTGTTACAGTTTGATTGCTCATTTTAAAGTGGCGACCGCATGTTCGCTTGTTGTCGCTGTGCAGCTGTGGCGCTCACGCATGCGCACATACACACAAAAGCCAACTAAATTAAAAAATAAAATAAAATACAAAAAATTTGAGTTTTCGAAAAGTCCGGATTCTTGGGTGGTCCGGATTTTTGGACTTTTACTGGAACCTTATAACTTAGTTAATACAGTACGTGCAGTTCTAAGAAGCAAATAAAAGTTCCAGTTGAAGAATCGGATAAATAAATTAAACCTTCATATTTGTAGCTTTAGTTTGACAAATGGCTTTAGAAAATTTAACATAGATCAATACGGTAATATCATTCAGTAGGGTATGAGACATATTGATTAGGTTTGGGAGAAAATGTTTTCGCCTTTATATTTGTATAATGATATAATGTGACTCATAGTGTTCCTCCTAGTTTAGATGAGTGATGTGCAACTGGAGGATGAAGGACAGGAGTCTGGACTAATGGATGATGGAGGTGACTATGGAAATGTCCCTGAGGAGATAGTATTGAGTGATGAGCTACAAGGACTAGAAAGTTCAGCTCAGGAGATAAGAAAGAATTATTGCATTTCCAAATTATAAATAGGTGGAATAAGGCCTTGAAGAGTAAATTTTTGAATGTAAAACATTGGAAGGATCCCAAGTTGACAGGAAGTTTAGGTTTATTGTTGTTAGGTAAGAGACTTAATCCCCACTTAGACAAGCCTGATTCTGCTAAGAAAAATAAGTTATTGGACCCTCCAGACAATGGGGCAATAGGAAGTCTACAAAAACCTCTATCTACTCAGTCTGATTTCAGTGGATTCCAGGATCAGGACGATGAGGCTGGTTCTAATCATAGTATTCAGTCTCTTGAGCAGGGAGAACCTGTTGAGACTGACTTCATTCTATCCACATTTTGGCAACCACTTCTACCTGGGGCAAAAGTGTTGGTTACTATGAGTGGAAACAGACGCTGTCAACCGCCACGCAGCTGATGGATAGCATTGAGTGTAAGGATGATCCCAACAGGTCTTGGATAACATTGGTAAGATCAAAGTCTAATTTGTTTTCTACTACATCTGAATCTGTGGATTCCTTATTCAAGGTATTTTATGAAAATGTTTCTAAACTTCCTGATATCTCAGCACTTACAAAGAGACAGGAAGGACAAGCAACTGTGGGTTATCATTTATTGTTTTTGGACGGTGATACTTCACTTTCTTGGCCTGATATTTGCCCAAAGATGATCTCTGAAATAGACGAAGTCTGGGCTAATGTATTGAAAGACTGAACATTCATTCCAGCAGACAGGAATGCTCACAAGTTTAGTTTTTTGAAGTTCCAATTTAATGACAAAAAGAGTTCCTTCTATGAACTTTCCCAGTATTTGTCGGCTCCAAAATATGTTGATATACGTTATGAAAAAAATTTGAAACCAGTTGCTCCTGCACTGCTGCTTGAAGAATTTAAAATTAGGAAATCGGCAGCAGTTGTTTGGTCTGCAATTATGATGTGTCAGTTATTTACTAAGTTTGTGGTGGACTATGAAGAAAATTCAGCAGTGGACAAATGTTTGGCTGCTGCTTTACAAGGGACCCCATATTCCCTGTACAACTCATTTTTGATATGTTGTTGAAAGCCCTAACACTAAAGTCCAGCTAAGGAAGCAAGCCACAAATAATGCTTCAAGTGGCAGTGCTTATTTATTGCTACGTTCTTCCCCCTCTTTCTGCTGCTTTGTGCTTTGTTTGATGAGCAATCATTGGTTAAATATAGATCAGCTGTTGAGCAAACTATTAATATTAATGTTCCCAGGAGTCCTCAGACCTTTTGGAAATCTAAAAGAGGAAGGCATTACAGGGGAACAGGATGAGCTGCTCGGTTCAGTTATCAACCTAGAGGAAACTTTAGAGGAGGAAATAATCAAAGACGTAATAGGGGTGACCGTTTGTTCAGAAGCGGAAGGATACCTTAATCCACCACATCAGCAACCACTCCCTTCCAATGAAGCCAGACAGCTGGGTCGTCTAGGGGGTTGGGAAAACAGATGGACTTCTTCCGTATGGGCTTACAAGACAATCAAGGGGGGCCTCACATGGACTTGGTTGAGGCGCCCTCCCCTAGCGTTACCAAAAAAGGGTAAAAAACCAACCCCCTTACTTACAGAGTTTGTAATTCAACTATTTAACAGAGGTGTCATAGAACTGTTATAGTCAGAGAAATGTTTCATGTCTCGCCTATTCCCAGTCCCCAGGAAAGGCAGCGACAAATTAAGATGGATTTTGGATCTTTCTGTTTCAAGATGCTCATTTACGATCATCTGAGGCATCTACTTCCGCCCGATGCTTGGATCTCAAAAGTGGATCTCGAAGATGGCTATTATCACGTTCCTGTTGCTCCCAGGTACAGAAAGTTTCTAGTGTTCAAAGTAGGGGATGTAAGTTATCAACTCACAGTGATGCCATTCGGCCTAACGATTGCGCCAAAAGTCTTTACAAAACTGGCGAACATCCCCAGAGAGATCCTTGCGAAGGAGGGCATAAGAACCTTTGCTTATCTAGACGATTGGCTGATAGTGGGAAACTCTTTCGAAGATTGTCAAAGGGCGACCCAACGTACACTAGTACTATTTCAAAACGTAGGATTAAAGATAAACCAGGTCAAATCAAATTTAATACCATGTCAAAAGTTGAA